GCTGGAAGGCGCCCGCCAGGCACACGGGGTGCAGCGAGCAGCGCTGCTCGCCAGGGTAGGCCGGGCCACCCTCATTCACAGCACCCGGCGGGGGCTCATCTGAGGCGGTGGAGCCCACCTCACTGCTCATCTCCGAGGTGGAGATCTCGCTGCTGATCTCGGAAGCGGCGCCACTGCTTGACGAGGGCATGGCGAGCGCCTCGGCCGGCCGGTCCTTGATGACCACGCTGACGGAGGGCGGGAAGATGCCAGGGCTGGGCGGGGGCGCCGCGGCCAGCTCGCAGCAGCAGCAGCTCTCCTCTGTCACGTTGAGCTGCACCACCACGGCGCTCAGGCTCTCGTTGCAGCCGTAGCTCTGCGCCAGCGTGCACAGCTTCTTGGCGGCCGCCAGCGCGTCAGGCACGTTTCTGACCGCCTCGACTGCCTCGGCCATGGAGAGGCTCTCCCACAGCCCCTTGCTCCCCAGGATGAAGAACTCATCCTGTGGAGTCAGGGTAATGGACTGTACATGAGGACGCGGCACAACGCTGGGGTGAAGGAAGGTGTAGCCCAGGATTCTCGTCGAGTCCGTCACACCGTTCACTTTGCCATCCTGAAAGGAGACATGACAGGAAATTGGAAACACAGCAGGCAAGGATGCAGAGCATTTGCATGGCCTCGTGTTTGCTCGGTATCTGGTTCTGCAATTCCCTAAGCGCAGCCATACACAGGTGAGAAGGAGCAGAGGGACAAAGCTGAGATCAGAACACAGCTGAGGCTGGTTTCCAACCTGGTGCTAAGCCTCCTACACCTGACTGATTTGTTGTTGGCATCCCTTAAGCCCAGAGCAGCAAAGTGCAAGTCTGCAAAAAGGAGCCACATATGCCACCCCTGCAGCTGGGAGAGCCAACTGGACTCATGTGTTACCAGTGAGTCACACTTGTCCCACGAGATCTGCCCTCATCCAGGACAAGATCACACAGATCCAGCTGGTATTGCGGCAAGTCATTCAGTTAAGACTCTTCTCTTGCAGCTGCAACACTGTGCATTTCCTCTCGGCTCATCACTTTGGAAGCAGAAGTTCATTAAAAGAAGGCTTTAAATGAGGCACGCAAGTCAAATGTAGCAGAGTGCAAGTCTGCACATCTCAGTCAGCTGAGCTGTAGTGAAATGTTTTACATGCCCCAATTACTTACTACACTTCCACTTAGATATGACATTTCCAAGAGGAGGAGTAATATCTGAAGGGAAAACACTATTAAAAATGGGCATATTTGAAAAAAAAAAAAAACACTCCACACATATCCAAATCCCTGGATCTGTTCCTGCTTTGGATCTGAGCTGCCGGAATAGGCAGAGAAAGCACCTGAAACAGGGAGCCTGGTTATCCACCAGTCTGGTGGGGATGGCTGCACTCCTGCTAATAGGGTGTTCAGGAATGACAGCAAATGCAAGGAGTCACTCTCGTCTGGTCCAGTTGGTGATAGCAGCCGTCATTACGAAGCAAACCACCACAGAAAAGTGAAACAAGGCTAAAAAAGCTTCCCCTTTAAAATCATTCAAAAGAAAAAAAATCCTGCTGGCTTGTTAACTTGCCCATTAGAACCCTGACGGAAGCGGTAAGCCATCAAAGGGCACAAAACCAGTGAGTCATCTTCAGATTCTGCTCAGAAATTTCCCTTTTCCCCTACGAGGCAGCATCGCGGCAGCGCCTCGGTGATGCAGCGTGCTCCGCTCCAGAGTGACTCCCTGTAAACCTGGCACATTGCGGTGCCACCACTTCCTGGCAGGATTCACAGGCACATGTTTTGCTCCACACGCGTAACCCCAGGCATGTGTGCTGAGCAGCCAGTTTTCTGCCCCTTCCTCCCCATTAAGATGGCACAGTATTCGATTATTCCTGTGCATGTGCTACACAAAGCAAAGCAAGACATCAAGCCTGTAAGAAGGGAGCAAGCAGCCTTGTTGCCCTCTCCATGCTGATGCCCTGAACTGCCTGCCTGCTGGGGCCAGGCAAGAAAATAAACCTTTGCGTGGTTCCTCCAGGTCTCCCAGTCTGAGCACTGGCTTCTCCCTTGGGGCGCCCCTCAGGACCCGCGTGCCAGAGCACGGCGCTGGGAGCATGTGGGTTCAAACAACACGGAAATCTGCCAGGAGGCACAGCCAGGAGCTTCCTGAGGGAAGGGCAGCCTGGCTTCAGCCCTCCCTTTCATCCTTTGGGATCCTTTTGGGCTGGAGGGGCTCTTGGCGACACTGGCACAGCAATTCCTCTCCCAACTAGGAGGAGGGTCTTAGCTTCCCTCATGATCACACAACACAATGTGAACCACCTTGAAGGAAAAAGAACTACTCTAGAATATAAACTACTAACACCGTGTCTCAGAAGTTACTAACACGGACATCTATTGTTACATATTGCTGTGCAAATACCCTCAAAGGAAGCTGCAACTTGCAACCACCCTTCTTTCCTCCATATCACAGCTCTCTAACCTCAGTGATAATGGCCTTGTGCTGCTTAATCCTCTTCAGCTCTTCTTCACAGCTCATCACGTAACACCTGGACAACGGCAGAGGTTTCCCATTCCGACAGAGAATGGTTTGGCACTTCCCCACATTTGCTGAGGTTAATGTGAAGCATCCACCAGGGTCCATGGGATCATGCTTTATGTGGCAAAGGACAGCAGAGCCTCCAAGTTTTTGTCCGGCTGTTCCAAGTTTCCTGGAATTTGAACAAAACAGAGATTGTTCATTCATAGGAAAGCACGTGTTTCGGGTGCTATGGAGAAACAACTGCTGTTCTTCAACCGCAAGCACGTAGGGCATTAACTCTGCTGGCTCCCGGGCAGCGAACGGCGGGTGTCCCAGGAGGTTAGTGACACTGTGGGTGCGCGGCAGAGCACTCGCACTCAGAGTGCTGCTCACACAGGGATGAGGGTGCTCCAACCTGCTCAACCTCCAAACAGAGGAACCATCGTCTCCTCCAGCCAAAAGCAGCTTGCTCGGCAGCTTGCACGGAGGATCAGGAGGAGTACTTGAGTACTGGAAGACTATTAAATTCAGTACTTCAGAAAAGGACTGAAGAGTATTAAATGAGTTCAGACAGAGCTTACGAAGAGCCACAGCTTTGGCTTCTAAGCTACACATTTTATCATGTAATTTTAGCTTTAGAAATTATTTTTAAGCAAAAAGCTAAGTCAGAGGTTCACTATTTCATGGTATGTTTTATTATAGAGTATTATTCTATGGGGAAAAAAGGATAGAAATGAGCAGTAAGGCACAGCTGTTAAACTGTTAGCTACCATAAGAAGGTATGCTTCTCATTTATCACATCAGTTACCAACCTATTATATGTGCTCTTAAAAATAAAGCCTACTGTTCTAATACAGTTCACAGTAGTAAAAAAATATTAAAAATTAAAAAAAATCAAAACCCAGGACACACACGCACACACACACACGGAAACTCACGCACCCTATGGATAAAGTAAAAAAGTAAACTAAGTTTCAGAATCCAGAATTCTGTCATTAGTATTGAAATGAATGCACATTCTATTAGCTGTACTTGATAAATTTAAATAGGACTGTGAAAAAACATTTATCGTTCCGAGTGCTGTTTGCAGGTGTCTTCACCTTCAGTAATTTCAAAGGTGAATTACAGAGCCTACTAAAACTATATTAAAGGCCAGGTACTGCTGCTAAGAACTTTGGGTTCAGAATGCTGGGAAGATTGCGTGCAAATACACTTGTATCCAACTTGCAGTTAAAAATATATACAAAAAACACTCTAGGAATGTTGCAGAGCATCTGTAATAATCCTCAGTGAATGGTTAAACGTAGCTAGAATGAATACTATTTCTGGATCTCCAAAGGACTGGTTAGCTTATTTTGCCTTGAGACATTAAAAAAGAATAAACAGAACTCAAAACTTCTAGCACAAAGGCCACATTCCTGTGAAATTCCATTAGTAGTAAACAGACCCACGTAAAGTACTCTCAATACTGGGTTTGTGTGGTTCTGTGTACAGCTTCGAAGTACGCAGCGTTCCTTTTGGTTACGATCGCCGCTAGCTGCGGCGCTAACTCAAGCACTGCCACAAGCGGCGATGGGAAGGAGGCATTTTTGTCCTGTGTTTGGCTGGTTCATTCCACCCTCCTGCTCCTACTTCTGCATATCGGAACTTTATTATTTTTCCTTGTTCAAAAAGGCAGCAATCAAATGACCAAGTGATGCTCCTTTTAACTTGATCCATTTCCTGGGTTTCTAGGCCGCTTGTTTGCTTTCTCTTTTGTTTCCCTGACCTCTTTCTCCTCTTTTGTTCAATTCCCTTCCTCCTCCTCCTGCACTCAACAGTGTTTCCCCAGGCAATTTCTTATTCTGACAAGAGCAGCACATTCAAACACACACTAGCTCCAAACCACCAGACACAGCTACTGTTACAGTCAGAGCTATCATATCTCTTCAGTTTGGCCTCGCTCAAGCGATATTCCTTCTAAGGTCAAATAGGACGTTAGATAATACGAAATAGACATGTTAAAGGAGTCAAAATGCATGTTTGAAATAGTTGTGTGGCCTTTACATAGCCTGAATCAACACAGAGAAACAGGAGGGACCAGTCCAGGCTTTGCAGGCAGTAGTAGTGAGTAAGTTTTTAAAAAAATGATCAGGATATTCACGCCACTGCCTTGGCTACAGCCAATTCAGAGCAGTAAGACTTAAAGAAGATACCAAAAGAGAGGAAAACTTCCACCCACTGCTTAGTCACGAACATTTGAGAATTTTGAGGTTGTTTTATTCTGTTTGCGTGGGTGGGGAAGTGCTGGATTCTCCCCCACGCCTGAAAGGAAAGGAGACCCATCGATATTCACAAAAACAAAACAACAAAAATTAAGAGAAAACACAGTTGTCGGGTACCAAGGCTTTTTCTTTCTTCCTCTCTCCTCTTCTTTTTAAGGGAGAAAAAAGCAGGTGTCCAACCTGAGAGCGCAGCAACTGCCAGCACTGCCGCGAGCGGCAGAAAAGCCGGAGAGGGGATGCTCACCGCTGCATGACGATGAAAGTGTTGCTCATGTACTCCTCCTCGTTCTTGGTCTTCTGCAGCTCCTCGGCCAGGATGTCGCTCATGGTGCACTGCAGGAGGTAGGGCACCTCCACGTTGCGGTCGCCGTCGAACACGCCGTAGAGCGCTTCCCTGCTGTCGCAGAAGTTGTTGGCCGAGAGCGCTGCCACGCACAGCCTGGGGACACAGAGCAGCACTGCATGGAGAGCCGCCCCCAACGCCTCTGCTCGTCACACTGGCTGGGAAAACGCAACCCGGTCTACCTGCTGGTTCCAACATGCTGGTCCTAAGACTTTCCCAACTGTCTTTTGAGCGGTGGGCAAGAATCGGGCTCATCCACCAGTACTGATAAACGGAAAGAGCTTTGTTGAAAGCTCAAGCCCTATGGGGATTTCTTGCTTTTCAGTGTGTGAAATAAGTCCCTTGTTTAAAGGAAAAAGGCAAATTTAAGAGGAGAAGCATCCTCAAAACAATGCCAATTGAAACTGCACTTACCTGCCCCAAACTAATCTTCATGATTTAAGGCAGTGCTGACTATTTTGAGCAAGTAAAGGGTTTACTGGCATTTGTGAGGGAAACCTTGGTAGCAGAAGACTTCTAAAAAGTTACTTAAGAAACAAAGAAAGACTCATCACCTAGCCAGCAACACAAGACTGGCAGACTTTGGGTACCTTAGTCTTAGAAGTTCCACATATTCTAAACATTCAGAGTTTGGCCATTCTACCTCTTCCCTTAGCATCCCTGATTTGCTTGGTTAACATCCGTGGTTCACGGTAAAGCAGGTTTCCAAAGAGAAAAATAAACACTTGGATCTTTTGCAAATACTGGAGTCTTGCAAAGACAAAATGTGTCTGTTACACTTGTATCTTGGCAACTCCTCTAACAAAGCAGAAAACCAAGAGTCAGGTAGGGACCCAATATACAAATATATGTCATGGCACGACCTCTGCCTTTTTGAGGTCCAAAATCTCCCAAAACTTTCACTTAAAAATGGGCTCGTTGCATCAGCAAAGAGATATGCTGCTGCTAGGATGCTTGTGTAGTAAATAAAGAGTACAAAACACTCAGGTCTTACTTGTTCTTGACTCCTGATGCTTCCGTGTAACCGTGGCTCCACACTGCTGGAGCTCCTGAGGCATCACCTGCTGAGGGCTGGTCGATCTTAAAACAGCGGATGTTGCTGTGAGGAGAAGGGAAGGGTGCACTGAAACAAAATCCTGATGCGATCTAGTTTAAAACGTGAAGACAGCAGCTTTCTTCTTCTAGGTCTACCACACTATAACATTTAATAGAGCAGAATGAAGCGGGACATCCAGAGTGGTTATTTTTTATGTCCACATACAAGGAACAGAAAAGCAGCCAGAAACGGAGCCTCCCTCAGGTCAGCTGCGCTGTTTGGCATATGTGGCTTTCCTTTCCCCTACCCCCACCCCTTTGCTGTGTTTTTCAAACTTGGCCCAGGAGGAATACAGGGATAATTTGTCACTAGCTTGATGAAAGCTGGAATAGGAGAGTCATTTTGTAACTCATGTTTCTCTCCCACCCATTTTGAGTAAGTCTCTGTGCTCTTTTCCTTGTATTTGGATGAAATCTGCATGACCCGCATCAACGGCAACATGGAGAAGAGCTTTCCAAACAACACGCACCAACTGTGAAGCAGCTCCATCCCAATCTCTGCTAACTGGTGACCCTGGCCTGCCGCCGGCTCTGCCCTTCAGCCTTCTCTGATTTTACAGGCCGGCTTCTAGCTTGGCCCTTGACCCTCTCTGCTCCTAATTTCCTGCCCACGTAGGCTGAATTTCAAGAAACACACACACTGTAGCAAAGGTTCAGGGAGAGCAGCCCTGCCTGTTTGCATCCTTCTCCTCATCCTCAGTCACTTCGAACACTCATTTTCATCTATCCAAACTCCCACCTGAGCTGAACAAACCAAGTCCTTTGGGCATCTCATGGCCTCGGCACCCTCTTCCGCCAACCCCAGGGGCTGTCACGTCCAGTCATGTCTCTCCTTACACTAATACAGCGGCGGCCAGGGCATCCAGCACCCAGGGCACATGACAACCAAACAAATCCCATAAATAATGTTAAAAACGGGAAAGGGACAGGGAAAAGAAGCATGAACGACAGGACTTCTGCAAGCCAAAGGAGCCTCTCTCCCCTCAACTTAATTAGGGCAGCGTACTGTGGAGGTCAGCGTAGCACACCAATACGCACATCCACTGAGAAGCTCCCAAGGAGGCCTGAAACAACTGACTAGGGCTAATGAATATCTGCAAGGAATAGAATAGGCCTGAGGACTTAGGAATTAAAAAAAAAAAAAAACCATGAAAAGTAAGAAAAAAAAATAGTGAGTTAAAGATAACTCATATTCCAGTGAAAATACACAGTGTATGTTGTTCTTCTGCTTAGGACTGAAAACTGAACATTAGTGCCACTGGGCAAGGAAGCCAGTTAGAATGGCTGAAGACTGGTGTGCCTGCCTTGTCTGCCTGTCACGCACAAAAGCTGATCTTTTGCTTTAAGTTTAAGCAAGTTCAGCTTTTTGACACTCTCTTTCCTGTGAACCACAGCAACACAACACACTGCTCCTTCAGGAAGCTTTCTTGCATACAGTGAGCCATTTATAAGCAAACTACATGAAATGAGTGCTCAGCCTTTTTAAGTATATCAACAGTCCTCCAAAGTATTCAATATTTAATGATTAAATAGACCTAGAAGGAAACTTAGAGATGGTTCTGTTCCCTTCAGAAGATAAGAAGGCAGCACCACTATCCACAGATTATCCAGTTTAGTTTGACAGTTTCACAACACATTACGGAATGAATGTGTACATAAACCTTCAAAATCAATCCTTAATGGGCATGCAATTCAATCATTCTTGAGAGCACCCAAACAGGCACAAGGTGCTTTCTAGATTTCCCCTCATGGATGACACCTCACTCTCAGGACAGGAAATAAACTGGTAGATAGGAAAGAAATAGAAGGTCCCAATATAAAGTAACCAGGAAAGCAAATAAATTATGGAAAAACGGAGAAGTATGAGAAGGGTAACTGAAAAAGCAATGAGAAACGGTGTCAAAAAAGGATCCAAAAGATTATTCAAACAAATATGAGCAAAAAAACCCAACATACTAACAAGTTACTGATGTCTCAGTAGTGGAATAAAACAAATATTTTGGTTAAATCTGGTGTCAGAAGTAAAAGGGATGTCAAATTACTGCAGTGGTGGTTATACCTGACCATTTCAGAGGTTACAGTTGAAAGCAATTGCACTGAAGTGTGTAAAGTGGTCCCATTCTATAAAATATTAATTTCTGAGTTACTCATATGATTTATTACTCTCTGATCCTCTGTCAGGAATCCTGCTACTTAAAGAGAAATACATTTCTCTGTATTGCAGCTTTGTTGCATATTTATGGCAGGAGTCTGTCCCTGCTCCACTCTTAAGCTAACTCACTTGAGCAGCTCTAGGCTTTTGTGATCCAAGGCTAGTCTGGGATTTCCAGTCAGGTCCAGCTCTTGCAGTTTTGGAGGCAGGTTTTCAGGCAACGTGATTTCACTCAGTTCATTGCAGCTCAGATCCACACACTGCAAAGGGAAAGCAGCCAAATAAGCAGGAGAATTCAGCTGTCATCAAGAATCTACAGATTTTGATTAAATGTAATAATGCATGTCCCCTGAATAACAGAGGCTGCACCAAAGACTCAAGATCATTCATTTGCGTGAGTGGTTCTTACAAAAGAACTTTCCACTGGCACTTGGCCATTTTCCCAGACGTCTGGGACACCTGCAAGCGTTTGTTCCATTTCCATTTCTGACCAGGTACAACCCTGTTGCAAAACTCCTAAGGTTTGTCTGCTCTCCACAAAGATGATACACTGGTCATCTTTGTCATTAAGAGACCATTATTTTAGGAAACAAAATGTTGCTGATAAAAACGGCTACCAGGCTTAAGAAAGTAGAAACAAAATACAGCTGGGGCTTCTGAGGCACTGACACAGTAGCCTCTCTTCTGAAGCCAGTTTAAAACATTCCCCCTGCTTTCCCCTAAAGTCAATCAGAAAAATCCTAACACTTTATTAAATATATTCAACATACATATTTTTGACCCAAATCTTGAATCCCAAGGTTGCTTGATATGGAGGCCTCACTATCTACAGAGAGCAAACTGCAGACGCTATCTAAGCCCGATAGGGCAATCAAAATTTAAACCCGTCTTGCAAAGAAAACAGCAGAGAGCTCAACAGAGCAGCTATTCCAAGGAGCTGTTTTCTTCTTCTGCACAACTCCCTGCTGCTTGCACAGACCCAGTAATTACTTCTCAGATTAAAGAGCTGCCAGCAGGCCTTGCTGTGTTCGACACCACTATAAATCTGATAGAAGAGAATGCTGAAATGAGGAGTACAAAATGGGTAATCCCATTGCTCTCATTACAGGCCCACACGCAGAAGGCAGCAACATGCTACAGCGGATCCCTTGGTCTGCAGGCGCTGGTGAATATAACTTATTCATCAGGATATCATTTCTGCAGTTTTATTGTGCTGCTTGAGGAAGAGGTTAACACGGAGTTTCTGCGTAGCCATGTTAAATTCCAAGCAGGAAAGCCTATTTCCTAACGGAACCTAATTTCCTTGTGTCTCACTCTAACGTAAGCTGGTTTAGCCCAGCCTGTGCAGCATCAGAAGAATAATTCTTGCAGCTGCCTCCAGGACTCCGCACTGGGATGGACCAAGCCTAGGACAGAGATTTTAATACTTTAATTTTCAGTATTTGCTTGCACTACACATACAGCTTTGTAGCCGTTTTGTCCGTGGCTGCCAGGGGCTTCGTTTATCTCCAGTTGTGGCTGAAGGTGGGCACAGCAACACAGATCATCTTTAGTCATCTAGTGTCATCTTTAAGATCCTTCACTTCACTCGAGGTAATGCTCCTACAAACTAAAACCTTTAGCAGAAATTGTGACAAGAAACCTCCATATGATTTTTGACTGCAGCCCAGCAAGATAACCATTAAATAGAAGCAATTTAGCTACTCATACCTATTAACAAGAAAATGGGGGAAATAAACTCAGATTTCGGTCTGGAAAATAAACAGCGGGTTGCTGAGCTCTACTGAAAATTCAAAGCAGCTAAAATGCTGCAAAGAAAAATGCACCGAGACAAGTACCCACGTGTGCCTGTCTCCAGCTCCCTTCATCATTCACGGAGGACAACCTAGTGTGCACAGACCACCCTTATTTGGACACTTACGAAGTCAAGCAGTCAGATTTTCACATCTTTAGTGTACTTTTTAAATGGAGAATTAAAGAGCAGTTTTTAAGTATGTGAACTAAAAGAATGTTTATTATGTGGTTTCTTAGAGGCATCCACCTGATTCACTAAGGCAGGTGAGAACTTCATCTCCGCTGCTCCTACCTCACAGGTTATGGAGATGAAAAGGTCAAGCCCTTAAGCAGTAGGATGAAGCACCTGCTAATCTAGTTACACACACACAAACTGACCAAGTCTCTCCAAACTTCCCTTCTCTCCACACATTCATTTTCTTCCTGTGACTAAATCTTTTGTGGCAATTTAAACCTTGCAAAGAACTACACAACTTCTATAGCCTTGACCGTAGTGTTTAAAATCTGCTTAGAGACAATCATACCACTATAAGGACCTCGTTCAGCAATCCTGGAGTTACTTTAAACACCATCATTTATATTTGTTTTCCCTCTAGAAGTATTTCTGAGAGCAAAGTAACTGCTGCTACTACCTGCTCTAGTATCACTGACTCCAAAAATCTAACACCTCTGCCTTTAAGGCTAATTAAATGTGAAAGAAAGATTGCCATTACCTCAGGCAACAGAGTTTCACAAGAAATTTTAGTATATATTAAGGTCGCCTCAGTTAAAATTGACCTTGGAGTATGACATATCACAGATGTGACATGCTTTGCTATGGCTGGGCTCATTTCACACGATTATCAAATCCATCCACAAACACCAAATTCTCAACCCACTTCGGCATTTTTGAAGGCTCTCAAATGCCTAAGGCTGAGCCCCACTTAAGCTAAGTGCTGGATGCAGTCCTTCCATACAAGCTCAGGCTCCAAACTGATACTCACTAACCCTGACTTAGAGGCCAGAAGCAGCCCTGTTCCCTGCAACGCTACAGCCCTGTGAGATGTGACCCTTTCCCCTGCAGCAGGTACTTTGGCCTGTTTTACTGGTCTTGGATGCTCATCAGGCCTTTTTCCCTCCACAAAGGTGGAGTCACCCACACTATTCCCTCTGCCGACTGCCCCAATACCATGAACGGCTTCCATGCCAGTTCCTGTACAGAGAACTAAATAACTCTAAGGAACTATCAAGAGCAGGAAATATCAGGTCATTTGCATTTCTGCTAAGCATTGTAGCAAAAAGTGGCACTTTAAATACTGATGCCTCTATGGAATATTCAGATTTCTCAAAGAGCAACAACCCAAGGAAAGAGTTACTTGCGCTACTTGCTCCCCATCAGCATGTTTACATTATTCTCCTTTTTGGGCTGAAAAACAATCTCCTACTTCTAGGGAGATGTTTACTGTGCAGAACCTCACTCCCCCACCCCAATTCTTCCTCCTAGAAAAAAAGGCTCCACTTGTAAGTGATTCTAAATGGCCCTTGGTTTCCTCTGTCCATTGTTCCGAAGAGGGAGGAGTAATCAAAAATCCACCAGTTTGTTGGAGATTTCCTGACTAAAACCACAAAGCTCATCCCTACACATACTCACTGTCCCACAGAATCATTGCTCCTGCTGCTCAGCATGACCCCAGACACTGGAGCACACACAGACACACACCCTGGGCTGGGAACTTGGCCCTCCGACTTCACTGCGCGTGCGAAGGACACTTGGGCTGTTTTGATTCCACAAACAAGTAATCACTTCTCAAGCTCCGAGAACTGCAGATAGCCTTTGCTGTGTTATCACAAGATATGCACCCTGCGAGGCAGCTGTCTCTCACTTCCTAATCGGCTGAAATAGCGTGAGACCAAAAATATACCACATTATAGCCCAGAGTGAAGGAGAAATTTAATTCACAGAAAGCAAGCAGTAGTATTCTTCCGCAAAGTCGAGCCAAGAATGCCAGAATGTCTCCCACAAGAAGTAGTGTAAGGAAGAAGTTCAGAATTACTTCTGGAAGAACATACAAGAAATCAATTAAGCATTCTTGGAACTGTGCAATATATGACTGCAATTAGGAAAATTAAAGTAGCTTGCATATATAGAGAAATTCTCCGTTCCTGGAATCCTTAGGGAATCTCTACCCCTAAGGTGGGCCTATCCTGTTCTAGAGCTTCAGCAGTTTTAAAAACTATGAGCACAAACTCTAAGCAAAGTCCATTTCTAGACCATCAACCAACGGCCAAGGCAGCAAGGGTTAATTATGCCTAGCTCTTGCAGACTTGGTCCCCGGAAAACTATTACACCTATTTGGCAGAGAAGATGGGCTCTGGCAAAGGCGAGCACATAATCAGATTCTGAGGGTCTTGTCCCCTTCCACTCTGAGGCAGCACAGGGAGAAAGGATTTTGCTCTTTCCTGTCAATACAGACAAGAAAGCAGGAGTCAAATCCCACAGTTTCTGAGAAGGTATTCCCCTGTAGCAACCAGGGCACTGAAGGGAGGACACAACTGCTAAAGCAAGCACTGTACTTACTTCTGCCAAAGCATCTTGCTTCCTTACCTTTATTTCAGAAAGTTGCATGACTTCTGGGAAGACCTCAATGCAGTTGGAGTGAGCGACCACAGTATGCATACGTCTGCAGTTCATAATGGTTGTTGGAATGGCTTTCAGTTTGTTCCCACTAATATCGATTTCCTCCAACTCCTCCAGCTTGGCCATTTTGCTATGAAAACAAAGATTTGAGAATTTTTCTTTTAATACATATGCAAACTGTATTTTAAAAAGATGATAAAAGCAGTGGCTTAAGAAAACACAGTTGCAGACTTGGACCCTTTTTCACATTAGTGCCCATCACTTCACGTCAGACATTAACACAGTTGTGCTTCTACTGTCAATGTTGTTTTAATGCTATTTTAAAAATAATTTTCCTTACATTCCCTCTGCTCCCTGCTCCCTCTTCTCCTCTCTTCTTCTGCTCCTCTTTTTTCACCCCTGATTTCTCACTTCCTGCCATTTTTTCTCCACTATCTTCCAGGACCCTGATCAACCCTCACTCTACATTTTACTTAAAAATCTCCCTCCACCCGCCTTGCATTAAAGCCCAGCTGCCTAAAATGTCACACAAGAACAGTATATGTCTTTATTTATGGGCATCTCTTTTCCAGGATCGTATGCCTTTTTTTCAAGGCTGGAGCTCACCCATCTGTGCAATGCAAGAGCACACTGCAACGTGCAAAAGGACACACCAGATAAACCCACCACTGCATATCACCACTTGCAAAACAACCAAAACAGCCACCAAATTTCTGAGCAGTTTAGTTCTCACTGCAAAAATGTTTCACGTTGCTCACCAGTGCTCCAGCAGCAGAAAAGCCATTACCTACCTTGCAGGGAAGCTCTGTAGGCGATTGTAGGCCATGTGCAAGATTTTTAGGTGGGGATGGCCTGTTAACAAGGGTACACATTTATCTGTGAGATTGTTATTGGTCAAATACAACTCCTGCAAGATGCTATGGGTTTCTTCTGAAAGAGTGGCTGGAGGAAGCATTTCCAGTTTGTTGGCTGAGGCATTAAGAAACCTCAGGCTGCAAAAGAAAAGTAGCATAAGGTAGTTCAGTGAAATATCCTGCAGCTTTTGTCTGAAATATAAGTAAAGTACCCACATATGAATTAAGATTTTTGCAAAACAATTCTCAGGAAAAAAGAAAACAAGATCATTGCAATAGATAGAAAGACCAGAAGCCTACTGGCATATAAAAAACCTCCGATTTAAAAGACCTCACATTTTTAAAATGAGCAAACATCAGCAAATGGAGTACTTCCAAAATCTCTCTATTCACTTATGAAAAACTCAGTACCTCTAGCATTTCTATACATGAACCTCACAGGGTTAGAAGAGTAACAAATCATTTCTACCACTTAATCCACAAAAAAAAAAAAAAATGAATTCATCAGGACAAACGTCCTTCAAGTGACTAAAAATGCCATGAGGGACAGGAAAAACCAAAACCAAACAAAAAACCACACACACCAATTTTAAAATATATTTTAAATACTAGCCAGGTCACAGGTAGCCTGAAGATCTAAAAGCAGCTACAAAGTATGAGAAGGTATTTTTTGGAATATTAGATTGACTAGAGATGCGCCAATACTAAAAGCTGAGAGTCAAGCAGCAGTTCGCCTCTCAGGCTTTAAACTGAGATAGAACCGATCCTCCCATGAAAACCAGTTACGTATTTGCTTCCTGAACTAGGCAGAAAATAGTCAGATTTCTATGCAGTTCCTCCGCGTCTTTTCCCGCTCTCCCAGTTGCAAATGTCATTGCTAACATTTCCTGCAGACGGACAACAAGCAGCCAAGGCTGATGCAGTGCACAAAGGAAGCCCTTGTCATCTCCCAGAGACTTTGTTCCCAGTGGGAAGGAGGGCTGCAGGAAGGAGAGCCGCGGAGGTGCTGCTCCTCCGTGCTCCCTTGGCGAGGGGAGTCCTGCCGATGGAGCGGCCTTCCCACCGCGAGGGCTGCGATTCACACAGGCACTGCCACAGGAGCGGAAAAACAACATCATTTGGCATCGTAATTGTGGCAGGACCACATCTTTTTAAGAGAAACAGAACCTCTCTCTCTTCCGCTCCTCTTTGGAAAAGGAGTGAGCCTGCCACGCAGAGGTAAGCGCCAGTCTGTGCGTGCCTGTCTGCAGCAGTGACCACCCAGCTGGGCTTGCACCAGGCTGCTCTGCCGCTGTCCCCGCAGCAGAAGGGGCAGCTGCGGCGGCCGGAGCCATTTCTAAGCAATGAGGCTCAGAAATGAGCTGGCTGAAGCTTACAAAGCCAGTGAACAAGACACAAAAGGCACGTGAGCTCTTGCCATTGACTGGTCTTCAGAGGAAGGTATAAATATTGATATCAAATATTGATAGCGCTTTCACCTGCCCAGGAACTTACCCTGACCTTTACGGCTTCCTAATGAATGAAATGGATTTGTGGGAGTTGCAGTTTGTTGCAACTCAGCTACCATCAGGGTCAGGCATGCTACAGAGCAGTCACATGGCAGGCTGAAGGATTAAAAAACAGTATCCCCATTAAAAGCAAAAATCTCTCAGCATTGCACAGAGCTGAAACTAGGTTAGCTTGGCTTGCACAGGCAGAGCCTACTACAGGGACACACAGCGTAATCCTCAGGCTCATTCATTATTCACAAGGAAGGCCAAACTCTGAAGGAGGAGGGGTGGATTAGTATGCGGAAAAAAGGGAATGAGCAATTGCAAATGTTTGAAAATGATTTCTTCTAAAAAGATGCTGTTTAGTCTACCCTTTGGGGAACTCCAAAATCTATCACGCTCAAAGCTGGAGTGCTAAGCTGAACCTCATCACGCCAACAGGGCCTCTGCTTTATTAAGCACCAGCAAGCACCCCTATCGCTAGGGTGCAGCCAACCAGTGCTTTGGCAAGAGCATCCCAACATGCGTAACAGTCTGCCCTTTCTCACAAGAAAGGACCCTGGATTCATACTAAAGCCACGATAGTTTTGTGCTAGCCAGCACAAAAAGACAACCTTCAGCACAGCCTGGCAGGGTTTAAGGAGTTCCCACTTAAAAAGCTATTTTATAATCCAGCATTACCACAGTTCAGGCAATGGAAGTATTTGACTGAGGTCCCTTCTACAGTCTCTTCAGACACTCTCCCCAGAGAGTTCCCAACCTGGAAATAAGCACCATCTGCTCCCAACACTGTTTTGGGTAGATTTCTAAGTCAGGAGGCCCATCTCCTCGTACAACCTCCTGGGAAGAGCGAGCTTTCATAGGGGTCCTTCAGGGATGACGAGGTGGCAGTAAAACATCTCCCAGGAACGGACATACTCTACCTTGAAGGGGAATCTGTATTTTTACAAATGGTCCTACAGGCCACAGCAGAAAAACACAAACCTGCGGTGCTTCACAGCCACCTTCTTTTAGTAGCCATATGGAGCAGAGAAGCTAGAGGCACCATTCAGCTGTTAAGTTCTTCATGCACAGCACCAAGCGGGCTTGATCAAGTACAGCTAGCCCAAAATGAGAGCTTCTGTAAGAAAGTATATCGCTCTGATAAAGCTGAAACTGGTAAAATGTTACATACTGAAGCCATTTTTAATTCAAAAGAAAACCGAATCCAAGAAAATCTCTTTTGTTTTTAATAAAATTCCAACATGGATGGGAGATGACAAGAAATCTCAAACTGCTCCTTCATTGCTCTTTGAAGTGATTGAAATTCTGCCTTTTCTTGCCCCCAAAAGCCCCGAACAAACAAATCTCCTTCCGATACATACACTGTTCAAAGGGAAAAGAGTCACCCCCAGCTCAGGCATCCTCCCAGTATCCCCACTTTTGGCCTCATGAGCCACTGCTAAGGTGGCTAGCAACATCTTGCCACAGTTGAAGCAGGGAATTGCAGCTTGATTCCTATACCAGGGTGCAGCAACGGGCATGGAGCACTCACATTCCCATTCAGGATCATCTCCATCCATGGCTGATGTCACCTTGGCTAAACTACAACTCTAAAGCCTGAAGGGCTGCTTATTCACATGTTCTTTTTGACAAGCTGCTACATTACAACAGTTAAAAAAAAAGTTCTCAGAAAATAATTCTTTCAGTGTAGTCTCTGGATTAAAAAAGAACAGAGACACCCTCTTCTTTGGACAGAGAAGAGACCAAAGCAGCAGTTCGCTACTGCAGAAAGCTTTGTTACACTTCTATGCTAGAACCCTGTATCTGGGAAAATCTGTACTTGACGATCAGCTTTCTCCTAGAGCTGCTTCAAGGCAGAAGTCCTCCTGCAGGCTGCTTTCTCTCCTGTGTTTCCTCTTCCTCGAGCAAGATGGCAGATCTTACAAACGCCCTCCAGAGGAGTGGAAATCCACTTGGGCACGAGCGTGCCTGGCTCTCGAGCTCTCGGGCCTTAGAAACTGATTCATGTTCCTTGAAGATATCCCACTCATGATGCTTATCAGATGGAAACAGAATGTCAAGTATTAAAGCTCAGTCCAAAATTGTTCCCCTTTCCAATTCCACCCACATGCTATACCACAAGCTTGTGCAAGAAGTACAGTGTCACTAGAGAAACCCGAATCCAACAGCCCTCACACACACTCGAGCAGCGTATTGTGAGAGAAGCATGAATTAACAAGTGCTGAAAGAGTGCTGGGATTAGGGACAACTAAGGCACTGCTTTGGCTTTGACAAGGCACAAACCCTTCTCGGGGTAGTAATATACGGTATTAAAGCACAATCCATTGATAGATTTAACTTCTCCAAGGTGTGGGGGGTGGGAGAGGGAATGACTGTCCCAAAAATACACTAGAATCAAGAAATGAATCTATTTGAACCAAGTCAATCCAATACGCATGCAGCATTCCCATGCATTCACTATTTAAATTGGGGCTCTGATGCAAATTTTAACTTCCAAAAGCAGAGAAAGAAAATCTCCTGAAAGCCGCAAAAAGATTCAAAAGATTTCTTTGACACTGACATCTGCCCACAGTATATATAAAGTACAATACGTATATGCAGTATATAAAAATGTTAAACATGGGGAGTCCTTAGATCTCTGCTTAAATAGCATTGACACACTTCACCTTATTCTGAGGTAGCCACCACTGGAAAAATGCAAGAAAGTCCTTTACAAGGCTCAGGAGTGGGTAACATTACAAAAAGCAACATGGAGGCAAGAGGAGCCCATGAAGAAGCAGCATAAGGTCAAAACCACTGTGCTCAGCCTGAAAGCATGAAGAGACTTGGAAAGACTCCTGCAGATGCAAAAATAAAATGCAGAGAGAAATGAAGATCTCCAGCAGCTCAGCCCATGCCCTAATACCTCCATCAGCACAGAGCCATGCAAATGCAAAGCGTCCTCTAAAATCCCTTCTGCAGAGATGGATCCTCAAGTTCCGGTCATTTGATCCTATAGTAATTCATAACCGCAGCAGCAAGCGAGCGAGATCTCAGAGACAACCTCTAAGATAAACATGTCTGAGGGGAAAACCAAGACACTTATGCTAGTCCATGTGAAGCTGGTATGTCTGCTTCTTTAGATCAGGATGGAAATATTCAAGCAAATCTCTTTCTGGTTAATGAGCTGCTTCCTCAGCTTCAACTCGGCTTTCCCCAGTTCCTAATATATCTGCTTGCAAAGCTTACCCTACTAGCAATGCAAAAAGCAAGTATACAAGTGAAGTTAAGTACGCCTGCAAGTGAGATGTGTGTATCAAGCATTTGCACGGCTCTCTGCGCAGCTTTGAGCTTCCTTCCTCTCTCCTGTTACATGCATAATATGATCGAACACTTACCCCCAAGCAGCCACAGCGGATGGAAATGGCAAATAGCAGGAGCAGGTTGTTTGTAAGAGTAATTGGGTGACCTTCCATAACTCCATCAAAAACAAAGCAACACAGCAACAACCACCACCAAAACCAAACCAGATAAGAATAGCTGAACAAAGCTAAAAACAAAAATAACGCAGAAAAGGACCTGGAGGACAAGTTTCAAATAGCCAGAAGTGCCTTGGCCACCACACGTGACTACTTCCAGACACTATAGACTAACAGAAAGCCCTATATTTAATTCATGGAAATCCCAGTACAGATCTTCACCCTTCAACTGCTTTAAACAGTCCAAAGGCTGATTAAGGGTCTGGCTGTGCTCAAGACATTCATACTAACTGGGAAGGAATCTTGGGTAAGAGGCAGACCCACAACTGTTATCCCCGTGTCTCCATTTTTTGACTCCTCCTGACCACAAACACTGCTTTTCTACTATACTTAGCTAAAACTTTTGCTCATGTTATTAAAAAAAACACACACATTTTGTGGAACTACTTCTATGGTATAAAACTGTAGTTTGCTGCAAGTTGGTCAAGGAAGGCAGTAAAAAGTCCATATCAGAAACTGGACACAGACAGGGGCACCTGCCATCAGAACGAATGAAGCAGTGGACAGAAACCACGGCTGCAGAAATGCAGGGGCACAAAGGCAGAGGAAGGGAGCTACAAGGAACCCCCACTTGGGAGCTTTTCCCCCTCAAGCACATTTGAATTTCAGGGCACTGAATTCCCCCTTTTCAGCACAGCTGGTAGCGAGAAACAAACAGGTCATCTGGCTGCCTCTGTGGTGCTCATCTTGCCAGGAAAATCCCCACCCTAATGTGATCTAGATGTGCATAGTTCCCAGCAGAATAAACAAGCCCAAATTCTGCCCTGGCCGTAGGAATGTTTTCTAGACGAGTCCTTAATTTCTCCTGAACTAAGAGGCTGAAACACAAAATTAATTAAAAATGAGACCAACTCACGATATTTTTAAATTACACTTTTCAGCAGAGAATTAAACCTGCCTGCTTAGTCCTTTCTGTGTGTTTGAAGGATTAATGAAGAAAACTGATGTCCATGGATTCTGCTCTAAAGACAGAGGTTTTTTTTTTTTTTTTAAGATTTTTTCCTTTTTCTTGGTAAAAGGGCTATCCCTCCTGGCTGTGCCAATGCACTGATTTCCCTCTCCATTTGCCCTAGGTGTTCTAGGCATCAAAGCTTCAGACCCACTTCATCAAATATTCAGGACTGAGAAGGAGAAAGTGTTTACAATTCCCAGCATGAAACTTTTTATGGAGACAAGGTATCATCCATCATTTGCCCGGACCTGCCTTCCTTTCCAAAAAACAGACTAATCTGTTCAGGCTCCAGAGGGTTTATGGAGAGATGCAGATTCTGCGAGATGGAGTGATCTGTCCAAGAGCATGCACTGCAAAGACCATGGCAGAGCCCACGGGGAACCCAGCTCTCCCAGCATGTCTGCCCCTACAGGCTGTGCTTCCTCGGCAATGTTTTCCAAATGGTAGCATTCCACTTCTGTCTTTTCTTTTTAAAAAGAACAACAAAACGCCAAACACCTTTCCCTGGCCCAGGCTCGTTTCTGTTGATACTCAGCTGCTGACAGACAAAAAGTTTAAAAAAACGCCAAGATATTTCCTGTAGCAAACTCCAAACTTAAGCCCTCGGGTTGCGGACTATCTGCAGAAGCTTCTCCTTCACGTCTGTCCCTTGCTCAACGACGTGCACGCCAGCCAGACATTTCACAGCCAAGTCACCTAAAGCAGTAAGGGGATCACGGACAGACAGGCAAACACATCCGCAGAAAGGAGCTGCTTCTGCTGGTTTCAAGCCCTGGGAGGTGAAGTGCCACGCTGCTACATCTCCCAAACGCGCGACTCCTCCAGCTCTTCCACAGCACTTAGCAGCTGCATTACCTACACTGCTTGAAAACATCACAAGGGTAAAACTGCAGGGGGAAAATTCCCAAGTCTGATGTGACGACATGATATTCTTACTCTGTATCTTTTTATTTCTTCAGCATATGCCTTGCAAGCATCTGGAAAGCTACTCCAATTTAGCCTGCATTTATTTCGATGTCTTAAAAAAATAGAGTGCCTGCAGTTCTGTAGCTCAGTTTGAAAAGGTGAGTTGGAATATAAAAAAATTTATGCAGCTTGTACCTCGCTGCCAAATGGCACTAATCTCATTCCAGACCTACAATCTATAAGTCTAATTTAATACAATAGTTCTCTTCTTGCTTTTAAGAATGCATAGAGCTTACTGAAACCAAGAGGTTTCATTCCAATTTAACATATGGGAATTTCAACTCAAGAGCTGTAAACAGTGTTGTTTGTTTGTTAAACGACCTAATCTTGTAACCTTCCCTAAAGAGCTTTTTACAAGCTTTATCTTTCTGAAGTTCAAACAATTTAATGTACAAGAGTTTGAAATGTCATCCACGAGACCATTACAGCTGCTGTAAGTGATGCAAGGTATTTTGCCAAATGAATAGCCTATTAACTTCACCATTCCTATATAAATGTATTATAATTGATCACAATTACTACAAGAGCATTGCCAAGATTCCTTGTTTTGCCTCTTCTTTTATGCAAAGTCTCAAATAACAATAAATTGACCTCAGAGTAACTTTGTTATCAATTGATTTATTCCAAAAGTGGTACCCTACCCAAGGCTGAATACAGATAGATAAGTAGCAGTAGGTTTCAAGGGGAAAAGGTAGAGAGAGAGGTACTTTAGGGTTTGTCTAAAACAAAATAGAGACTGAAATGTCATAGTAGTTACCAAAACCTTGCCACAGTAGTAGAATTCATCCTTCGCATTACAATTTTTAACCTAAACCACAATTTCCTATAAACATGACTGCTCAGAAGCCAGTTAGGTCCAGAGTTTATTTGGAAACCATATCAAGCACCAAACCATTTCTGTAACCCAGGATGTTGTGGCCTCTACAGACTTTAAACAGGGCCTCACAGCAGAGGAACCCTGGGACCCAACCGGCTGGGGGATGAGACGCAGTCGTGGGGCTGCGGCTCCTCCTGCGCCTCCCTGTGTCCTGGGAGGCCCTGCGCTGCCCACTCCTTTTGTCACAGCTCAGACAATCTCACTGCCTGCTAAACTATGCAATTACGCGTACCCCAAGCCCCCAGGAACCCCACAGCCGTTTGCAGGAGCACAGAGCTACAAGGAACACTGGCACTAAGCAAGGCAAGTCCATGCCCAGACTATGAGACCAGCCTCTGCTGGTTTACCACATGACACGGGCATCAGAGCCACCTTGCAGGATATCTTGATATCCAGAAAGGAAGACTATGAAGACTTCAAGACTGAAAAACTAGCAGTATAGAAATGAGAAGACAGAAATCGGAGGAAGTGATGGCATCACACAAATTAGTGACAAATATCTGAAAGGCATAACATTTTCACAAAGCAAGGACAGGGGAAGCTTTGCTTGAAAGGTATAAATAAGTTCTAGCCTGTGACTGAGAGGAAAAAAAGCTTTCACACTCCATCAGACAGGCTAAAATATGTATTTAAGGAAACTGCCACTAACCAATCTCAGCGCATGGAGCAGAAAATAGTATGTGCTTCACTTTACAGCCAGATTTCACCAAGTAGGTGTACAGCAGGAGCTTGGTGGGGGAAAAAAAAAGCAACCATATAAGGGAACAACTCAGAATGAAAAGATTCTCTGTCTTGGCAAGTTGCACAGACATCTGCTCACATCACCACTGATGGCTTGGCAGTTTTCAAATTAGGGGAAACTGAGATTACCCACAGCTGCTCCTTATAGCTAGGGAAATCGATACAAAGCCAGGTTCCTTATGTACAAGCTGAGATCAAGATGGCTTTATACTTACCTGTCTGCTTTCAGAAGTAGGTTAGACGGCAGCTCAACGAGCTGGTTGTGCTGAACATCCAGGACTTCCACTTGCATTCGTTCAAGCCGATCTGGTAGCCTTCCTAACAAGTTATGTCCAGCCAGTAGCTTACGCAAGCTACTGTTGTAAAACAGCCTAGGAGAAATAAAAGCATAAAAAGTAAGAAAAAAGTAAAATGAAAAAAAAAAATTTTTTGACAATTTTTAGGTGAGATATCACAGCTCGTTGCAAGAAAGTGATTCAGCCAACTGATTAGCAGACGTGGTATTAATTACGCACAGATTTGAGAATATCTTCCCACTCTCCACCAACCTGTTAGAAAGGATGAACATTCAAAGACTGGGAGGGAGATTTAAGGATGATTAAAGAGTGAAAGTAGTGAGAAAGGGTTATCTTATTGCACTGCATGAAACATGAACATAGGAGCACGATGGTGGATAATTGCTAACAACGGCTGTGGAAAACTGTACTTGTGGGACCCCTCTAGCTAACAGGAGGATTTGAAAAGCACGGATGAAATCACCAGCCATCCCACAAACTTCCCTCTCCTTTGCTCATCATGTGCTGACTCACAATCCAGCGTCTTCCCTCACCCCTCTTTTCCCTTCTCACTAATACCAGGCTAACATAAAGCCTCCCTTCCCGGTCTGCAGCGAATGAAATTCATCTAATCCGCTTTGCTTTCTTGAGCTTTTACAAACAAGAGATGACCCTCCCCCTGCCCCACTTTTTGGGGAGGGGAGGCAATGCAAGGAGAAAAGAACAAACTGTTCTAATCAAACAGTAAAGCTAAAATTCACAGTATAAACAATTCAGTAAGGATTTCAAACTGTGAACCTAAGTATGACAAACAAAATGGAGCAAGTCTCGATTTTGGACAGTAAATATTTTCAATAAATTAAAAAAATATTCTCTGCCACCTGTTCTGCACTCTCACTATAGTACCATTTAATGCTGACCTGCTTCAATCAAAGATCCTCAAATTACTCAGCATTACAGGAGAAACCTCCTTCCCTGTTACAAAGATGACCCATATACACACAGCCAGCCTGGCCTTCCCTCTTCCCTGCGATCCACAGGGACAAGCTGCAGCCACATTGTAGGTCATCGGACTCTTGTGCCAAAATAACCAATGAAGTATGTGGAGCTTTCCCCTTGACAGATGCAGTCACACTTTTATCTGTGTGCCAGGGCTAACAGTTATCTCAGTTGGATGGGTCGTCTGCGCTAGGACGTGGATACGAGTGGACAGTCAGGACAGTGATAAGCACACATCATGCTTTCAGCATTTCAATATTTTGGTTTCATTTCACTTGTATTTTAAAATGTTCTAGAGGTATGAACATGTTTTTCTATTCTTTTCCTTTCTTAATCAAGACTGGCCTGTGTGAAAACCACCCAATACTGTAAGTAGAGTTGGGTGACATACCTACCTAACATGAGCACATTCGGTGGTGCATTTTTCTTTTTTTTTTTTCTTTTTTTTTTTCTTTTTTTCTTGATTGGGAGGCACATTGTTTTTGACCTTGAAGTACATGGAAAACCATGAACAACTAACTTTTCAATGGGACGGTATTTTGGGAATAGTCAGAAAAGCTCAAGGTTTTTTGTTTTCTTTTTTCTCCCTTCTTCCTTCCCTGGTTGCCCAAAGTTACAAAAGCACCAGAGGAACCAGGCTCACTAAAGAGAGCTCAAACCACCAGGATCCCGCCAAGCAAGCTCCTGACACCAGTGCACCAAGGTGCGTGGGGAGCCAGCTTCACCACTTGCTTGACTCCCAGAGAATGTTTTGATGGAATCAAGAAATTCCCGCGGGCAAGTAAGCTGCTCTTACTTGCCTCTTTTAGCCTCTTTTGAGAAAATACGGTTTGGTGAACACGTTCAAGCAGAACCTTTAACAAGCAACTGTTCAAGAGATCATAACGCTGAATACAAATAGATCTTTTGTATTTGTCAATAAATGCAGGAACAAAAACATACATACAGACATCTCTCTGTTAGTGGTCACAAGGTCATTTCAAGACGTGTTTTATTTTCTTTGGAAAATCTCTGGCAATGTCAGTGTTAAAAGAATCAGTTTGTCCTGTATAGTTGAAATATAAATCCCCTTCTTCATTTTTTCAGTACTTTTGAAGCAGAGATGACTCTGTTACAGTCTAATTCCCATTTTCTTTAATTGGGGCTCCTGTAACTCAACTGATCCAACTGCTTGGCTTCAAGGATTGTTTTCCTAGTACAAGAGGCATCAGTTGACATTTTCTTTGATCAGATGTGACCCTCACCGTCCTGGGAAACCGCTGGCCAGCCAAGGCTTGGACAGTTGTGATTAGGAGCACGCTGTTTCCCTGCTGCACAGGTTTTTAGGAGGCTGTTTTGTACAGAACCAGAAGCAGGCAGCAGTGCACACAAACATGCCTGCTGGGCAGTAGTATTTGAAACCTACAGCATTTGTATTTGAACTCAGACCCAGATTCCCCTAAAGATTAACAGATGATCAAAGCCAGGGTTTTGAACTGGGTTCTAAACTGAACTGACTTATTAGGAGCTATGTTATCTAAGCACGTTCTACAAAGAAGAACTTGCAAAGATAAGCCATTTCCTGGGGTTAAAGATGAGATGGCAGGAGAGACAAGTGGGATGTTGACTGTACCTAATTTCAGCTAATCATTAATCTCCCAAAGATATCCGGTCTGCCTCGGGAGTCCTTGCTGTTATGAAGTGCAAATGAAAAGCAAATGAACTTTGTAGTAGGTGCTGTTTCGCTTTGCATGGAAAGAGAAGATTGATTTAATAACTTGCACGTTAGCCTGTTAGCTCACCCAGTGCATCTACTAATGTCCTTTTCTGGCTACGCTTCTGAAATCTATTCTCTTCCCATTCCCAACACTCAAACCACCAGCTCTCACCATATTTCTCTTTCATGTGAACCACAACTATCTTCGTGCCTTCTGATCTCCTTCAGGGGTATGCAGCTATGTAAGGCAAACACTTAATGTCATCATACACTAGCTGCCCAGACTTTGCTATGGCTCTACATAGCTCCATGGGATTTCACCCTTTCTGCCTGGTGACATTCTCCCTCTTTCACAACACCTGTTTTGAAGTGCACAGAGAAGCACAGCAGTTCTCTTCAGGGGAAGCTGGGCACTCACAAATCCTCAAAACCATCACCTGACCAGTATACTCATCTGGAATGGGTCTCTAGAAAAAAAAATCACGAGCCATTCATAATTTAATTCTGACCCTATCTAAAATCTTTCCTCCTTGTTCACTGCTTTCCTATCACTTGTATTCAATTTTAAGTTTAAACTCCTGGAAAAAGAAGCCATCTTTGTAGCAAAGGCATTTGCTGTACTTGCAGAAGCTTACTTGCCTTATGGGGCTTTACCTTCTCCTTTCAACCCTTTTCCTTACCCAATACTCAGACTGACAGGGCTGTGATCTCAAGTCTCTAGGCACCACAGAGCTAGAAATAAGTTTTAACTTCTGGATCTCTGAAGTGTCACGCAAAGTTACGGCTGTAAATATTTAATATTCAATATTAAAAATGAAGCATTTTCCTCTCCGAACTGTAGCACAAACAGCTTCAGAACTTCATTTGGAATTCAAAGACACTTTTCCCTCTGCATGAAAGTAAGAGAAGAAAGGATGCGTAGAAGCTTGTGGCATGATGACACCCCACGAGGTAAAAATAAAATCAAACAAAAGATAAAACAGGCCTGACTGTCACTGGAACAAACCAAACATTGAATCAGCAATTATTCCAAACTGCTTATCCTCTTCCACATTGCGCAACTCCATCTGCAGGACTTACCGGGCAGGCAGCTCACGTATCTGATTGTGGCCAACATCCAACACTTCCAGTTTTCTGCTGTCACATACCCACTCAGGCAAGTTTTCCAGGTGGTTTCTATGAATGGAACACACAAGAGATACGCTAAGCTGCAGTGCAGATTTAAAGCTTATTAAAATATAGCCTTAAGAGAGGTACAGACACTTGCAGAAAACACACCTGCTACACACATGCTTCCTGAGAGAGTGTACATCTCCCTCTTTATTAAGGGCACTACAAACACAGTGAGATTCTGACTCACTCACAGTGAGAGGTAAGAAAGAACACAGTGCTTTCTCCCTACGTGTGTAGCCACTAACCAAAGCAGGGGAGAAAGCTACTATGAAACTACCAAGAAGTATCAAGTGTATCAAGGATGAGGAAGTCTTTACAAAAAGAAAGAAAAGGAAACTGTTTATTTCATTGCCCATTTGAGAGACACTTTGCAAAATTCAACTGTGTCCTACACAGCTGCAATGTCCCTTTTTGATCCCTCAGAAACTCAATACTGAAAGCCACTCTGCTACTCAACAATGTCTCTGAATAGAACATAAACTTTCTCTCAATCATCTTGCCAGCCAAGGGTTTTGCTCTTTTTACATCTGCCCACACAGAGCACAAGAGATAAGTTAAAGTTTTCCCAAACACTGCCCTGAAAACATGCAGCTAGGCTCAGCTGGGCACCTGTGCTTCCTCCCCTAAATGCAAACATTAGTGACACGACATGCATGGAGAAGATTGTTGGTTTATGGCCGTGCCATACAGGAATCCTAACCCAAACTTTCAAATCTACATGTACCTGTTTATGTGATTTGATGCTCACGTTTCCATCTGTGCATGCTAACTGAAAAAACGGATATGTACGTACACATGCATACATTCTGGCTCATTCGTGCTCGTGTATCCTCCATTTCATTCGTCAATAGCCTTCAATCAAAATATCTAGTAACAACAAAACCTTTATTCTCCTGAAACAGCTTCCTTTTCAGTCTCAAAAAGATTTCCCAAATTCCAAGAGCCAAAGATGCCCAAGAAGCTAAAAACTTCCTATCTATTTACTAACATGCCACCATAGAGCCGAGGCACAAAAAGGGTCATTAAAGATTTGCAGCCATTGCCAACATGATCTCTACTAGGTTAAGCCTTACAGAAAGTGCTTCTCAGCACATCACTCAGCCACACAGGTGTACTACATCTAGATGACTAACTCATGATTGATGCAGCTTAGAAGCTGGCCATTGTCCCAGGTTAACTCACTAATTGTTACAGTCATCCTCAAAAGCCTAGGTGCGCCTTATGGGAGCTTTTTAATATATCAAGCTATCACTTTAATGTGCAGATGAGTAATGCCTTAAATAAGGAAGGCATTAGGCACATGTGCAGGGCTGAGGGTGCTGCAAACTGACAAACTATCAAACCATGACCCCATGCCAGGCTTGCAGTGTAGCCACATCCAGAAAGCAACCTGCATACATGCCTCATACCAATACTTATTTGATTAACTCTGTGTATGAGTTCAGAAATCTTTAAATTGGTGATAATATTTTCCATTAACTATAAACACTCATTGTGCTTTTCATAATACAAATGAATCAAAAGGAAACAGGAAGGAGTTGCTCAGCAGAAGAAAGCATATCTTCTGAGGTTTAGAATCAACCTTTGCCTATCTCAGGATCCAATTCTGGTCCAAACTTCCTCCCAGTAAAATACCAATGCATGTTATTTTCATAATTTTAGTTGATGTATGCTCTACAGGCCCCAAGAAAACACAAAACATGTTCTTACCTAGAAATATCCATATAAGCCAGGTAATTCGGAACTGGATACACATCAAGGTGGACAAGTTCTAGGAGGTAAAACAGAAACAAATGTCGTGTCTCAAAATACAGAATAACCAGTTAGGTACCTACAAGAGGTATTTTAAGTAGCCAACACTAAGATTTCAGTAGAAGTCAGTAACGCAACAACAAAAAAGCAAGCCCTGCATCTCGAGCTCTGGACCTTTGTGAACTGAGCTTTGTTTCTTTATTATGTCTGAGTATATATTTGCTACATCAGGCTATACTTGCTATGACAGATACTCCCTAAGAGATGAGAAAGGAAAAGCTGGAGGATTTGAAGAGTTTTCATGGCAAATTCTCATTTTTGTCCCATTCAGAGTTGCAACCTAACCTGTGCCACACTTGTTTGCCTGCTGCAGCCAGAACAGTCACGCATAAAATTCCTCTGCTTTGCTCAGTGGTCACTTTTAGGATGGAAATTCGCCATGCTGGAACAGCAAGCTATGGAAAACTCCAGACTCCTCCAGGCCACGGCAAGACAGAGAGCACTTTTCAAGAGCAGTACATGAACATCTGCATCATTTCATAAGTTTTTGTTTACAGGCAGCCTTACAGGCTGCATAGCTCTTAAACTACAGCTAGTAACCTTGTATTTTGATTTCTTAAATTATATTCCATATCCTAAGGTTTCTAACTAATACTTGGCATTAAGGTTGAAAGAAAATCAGAATTTAAGCTTACAGAACAGCCACTGAAGTGAAAAACAGAATGAATGTTATAGTCTCTCTGGAGGAGGAGACCAAAACAAAGTAGCCAGGAGTGCAAAGCGAGGTCAGTTGTGGCGGGGGAAAGGCAAGAGCCTCTCCTGAGGAGCAGGAGGCCGAGCGGGAGGCGCGGGCCAGCCGGGCTCACGGCTCACCCTGCCGAGCGCCCACGCAGAGCCCGCGAGCCTCCCCGCGCCGTGCAGCTCTTGGCAGGGATGCTTAACGGAGGCCTGGGCGACCTTACGGCCGCAGCCTTTTATAGGCAGTGCAAACCGTGCAGGAAATCCACAGCTCTCCAAGCTTCTGTTTGGTTTATTCCGTACCAACCTGCTCCGAGCAGTAAAAGAGAGCAGTGAAAACTGAGCATTTCAGTTGTATGAGTAATAGCTGCTTCTAGAATCAGATCAAACAAATCCTATTAATGGAAAACAGGTGTTACTCAACTGGAAAAAGCTGCATAATTTTTACTTTAAAATAAAAATGAAGTTACTGATCACAGATCTTACAGCTTTCTGGCTAGAGCAACTAGATACTGCAATTAAAATATATATTGTTGTAGTCTGTCTCATAAAAGGCCACTTGTTCAAGCTTCCTCAACTCCAGGGAGAAGCAGTAAATTCCTCTTTTGCCTTGCTAGAGCAACACTTTTAGGCAGCACAGAACTGATGCTTTTCAAGACCTCTCCCTGCTGAAACAAAAAGCCTAATTTTAAGATTTCCATGGCGTTGAGACCTTCAAGTCAATGGTACAGTGCTAGCTGGAGGTCACATGTGAAGCTCAATAACATGGCACAGCAAATATGCAACTCCCAACCACCGGTCACCTCGACAGCCACCTCCTAACTCCTCCTGATCAGGAGCATTTTGTGCCGTGTGTCCCACAGAAAAGCAGGCACGAAACCCATCAACAAGCCGCCAGAGCACAGCACAGGTGCCCTGAGGACCCTCTTACCATTTGAGGAGGCATAAAGTGCCTTGAGGAAATATCCACTGATTTTGAGGGTCACCAGCTGATTTCTTTCACAGTGCAACACTTCCACGTTGCTGAAGACTGTTGCATCCAGCTCGCCAAGTTTGTTGTCTCGGAGGTCCAGCTGGGTCACGTGGTGCAGAAAGTCTGTGTCGTCTGCCACCAGCCTCCGGATTGAATTCAACCTTGCAGACACAGCAAGGAAAGGACATTGAGTGTTGACATGATAGGCTCCTGCAGCCAACATAATGCTCACTCTACACGGGATTAAGCTAGCATGTCTCAAAGTTCTGATCAAGTTGGATTTTTAGGATTTTTCTCTTCCTTATGGTGCTATAAGTGGGATGGCTCAAGTATTTTGTTTTATCATCAGGACAAAGGAATCGTGACTTTAAGCTCCTTTCCAAATCACTCTGAAAACTACTGATAAAAAGCTTGAGAAAGAGGATATTATTACACTTATAAAAATAAAAGATGATCTGGTTGCTATTCGTGCCTGATAGGAAAAAGGAAAAATAAAACCTCTACAGTTCCTGCTGGCCTTCAAAGAGCATATCATGAGCATCTGCTGGAAAAGCCTGGCAGACACAAGTCATTTGCAAATGTAACAGTACTGAAAGACCACAATTAGATTTATGAATTCCCACACTTGCTTCTCACTTCACCATATTCCACAGTGGGTAAATTCAGAGCGTTGAAGAAAAGCAAAAGAAATATGAATCTGGAAGATGAACAGCACAGACTTTACCGCATCTTCAGTGCTGCAGCTACAGTGCACTGATGCTGCCAGTCCTCAGCAAGTTGAAATAAACCAAAAAGTTATGGTTGAAATAAAGCTGATCTATAAAAACAGCAATATTTGAGATACTAGAAAACTTCAAAAAAAATCAGTTTCAAATTCTCAACTTTGACCATAACCCTTTAGAAATCGGAGCAGTAATTTTTGTGGACACATTAAATCCCCTACTGAGAATCACAAAATCCACATATAGCTCTCTGGTTGCTTTTGCTTTCAAGTACTGTCAACTTTCTGCTACAGTTTCACATTTAGAAACTAACTACGCTTTCCAATTACAATAAAATACGGAATATGACTCTCCCCTCCACCACAACCTACTACTCCTATTTTTAATTTATAAATGATATTTACCTGTGGTTTCACTGAAACCAAGCACTTTGTCATGCAGCAAGCACAGTTTGCAAGCATGGTCAACATAAAACGCCCACGGTGGGGCTCAGCACAGAAAGGAGACTGCAGGCAGTGAGAAAGCTCCCAACAGCACAGGGAAAACTCACAGCAAACTGAGCCAGACAAGCTCAAGGATTTCAGGGACTTTAAAGCCGAAGTGACAGAATTGCAGCCCCTGATCAGTATCACTACCTCACTAAAAGCTGAACTGCTGGTGTGGGGCTCAAGATTTTCTCTTGCTCTTTTTGAGCTTCAAGCCTTGGACAACTGGGAAGCAGAAGGTCTCTGGCAAAAGCACTAACACCAGACTGGCCTCGGATGTGAAGACTTCTGCTTCCCTCCTGGGAAACAGAGGCTGCTTTTCTTTTCCTCTCCTTCCAAAACATAATTAAAGCCTGACAAGTCAGTTCATGCACGTCTCCTTGCATGCTCAGAATGAACCAAAACCTACTCAGTTGAATTCTAACCAGAAAAAGCAGCAGTTAATTTAGGGGTGAAAATCAGCATCCAGGATCTGATTTTCACTTCCATGCTTTTCCTGTCCCTTGACATCAACCCCTGTCAGTGGGTGGCCTGGTGAGCCACATCACCTAGTCCTGCTGGCACTCTTACCTTCATGACAGATAGCCCTTGACTTAGCTAAGTGGACTGCACTAATTAAATACCAGGCTTTAACAAAAGGGCATGAGAAAGTAAATTAACAATGTAAAAGCTAAAGCACAAGGGTTTTGTTGTTTAGCATAGATATATTCACAGAGACATATTTCAAAGCTGCAAAATACCTCAGAATTATCCATTTTGGCTGTTGCCCTAACTAGCCCATACTTAGGCTGGCCCCTGCTGCACTGCAAAGGCTACATACGGGGCATATGGGACAGCAGTAGATTTCAGTTCTGTTGCCCAGTTTAACTGAACAGTTCTGAAATTTATCCTTGTCCAGACCCCAGTGTTCCAACAACAAAACAGACTTGCTCAGCAAATTACTGAGCTGGCTTCCCCGAAGACTGTAGAAGCAGAGAATCACCTTGGGCCAAAAAAGCCATCCATCAGAGAGACAGATTTACACTCTGCTGAGAGTATCAAAAATATTATTATTCACAGTGGATTTGACTTTGTAACATGTGGACAACCATGAAATGTTGTAACATCTGTTTTTTCTCCTCTCACCTTTACTGCTCATTTCTTCATCTAACTCATCTGTAATATTTCAGACAGAAGTCTCAGGTCTGGGATTATCATTCATATTATATTAGCACTGCATTAACTACAACTGTTAGAGCCTCAAGTATCCCCAGTACTTTTCCATTTTTTTTTCCAGCATAAATCTTCATTTTGCCCCAAAACTCATTTTCCCAATTATTAATTCCCCGAAATGCTATCTCTGAATGCTAAGTCACTGTAATCACTGTGAGTTACATAATAAAAGTCAGAAACGTGTCAGTGGACTAACACAACAGTTATACCCAGGGGGCTACGATTGCCAAAGAGAAATTGTTTCAAAACCAGTAATACAGATTCACTTCTTTTCCCCCTTTTTCAAACACCTACCTTAGATCGACATGTTTAATATGAGGCATCCGTTTTAACCCCTGCAGGTTGAGGGTATCCAAGCAGTTCCCTGACATGCAGAGCTTGTCCATAGCAGTCAGTTTCTCTAACACTCCTGGAATGTCAGTGAACTCATTGAAGGACAGACTGGCGTAGCTGAGCTGATGCATATGCTCCAATTCGTCAGGAAGGGACTGCAGAAAGTTGCCATCCAGCAGAAAGGTCTGCAAGCTGTCAAAGGGAAAGCAGGGGTCGGGGGGAGAGTAACGTGAGACATCTTTCAGTTGTTATAGAGGCACGAAGCTACTGTAGTTACAGTGAAATAACACAAGTAAGAGCAGAAAACGTCTAAAGAAGATATTGACTAAATGTTTTAAAAGCCTTGGCAACTATGAAACGCAGAACACAGAAGGGAGTCAACACCACATCTTCCCACACCTCCACCATTGCCGCTCGCATGTTGATGGCTGAGGCACAGGAGCAAGGGGCAAGACTGGAGATTTTCTTCAGCATGAAGGTGACCCTTGTTTCACCCAGGACGGACTAAAAGAGCTTCAAGAAACAGAGCGTTTGCTACTTCAGTACAAACGTACAAGCCAGTTTGCTGTGAAACTACCCAATCCAATTTAAGCTAAGTTGCCTGCAAAGTCATGTCACTGTTTACAGCCCTTATTATCAGGCTGTATAAATGAAGTTTAAAGAAAGTACTTGCTTGTGCATGTCGCCTACAACTGCCGGAACGCTTCGCAGGGCATTGCAGGACACGTTAAGTTCAGTCAGGGTTGGGATGCTGCAGACTGCCAGTGGGAACTCTCCTAAATTGTTGTTGGAAAGGTTAAGGCTCTTCAGTTTGGTGAATCTACAGTGAGATAAGAAAAAGAAAGAGCAAGGGGAGACATTTTAAGGAATTAGAATATAAACGCACTAAGTTGCTGTGCAATAACTAACATAAGGTAGGGCTGGGTATTTAAAAGAAAATGGCAGGCATTTTTAGTTTATGCACCAAATATTTAGAACAAGTGAGGAAAATCATCAGACAAGTCAGACACCATTTGCAAAAGTTCATTGATCTTAACCTGGCACAAGGAAAATGTGCACTTCTGAACAACAAGCTACACATATCTTTGTAAGAGAGCAGCACAGGACAACAGATCCTTGCTGGCTTTAAGAAATACGTCATTTCTAGTGAGGCGCTGCCCTACTTCTGAGTACATTTCTTGCTAGTAAGACAGCCCATATAATTAGTGACTCCGGTAGGAAGGCGCAAGAATTCTTAGCATATTCGAACACGAACTTCTCTTGCACTAGCTCAGCTCCATTTGTGTGAGTAGAGTCACCAACCCCTCCAAAACCCCATTAGAATATTAAGTGGGTTTGAACAGAACTGGTAAACATGCCCAAGCAAGACAAAATTTAGCAAAAGTCCTGTAGCAACGAAGGCAAATTCTGAAACTCTCAATTGGGCGTCATCGATCTGGATGCCACAGCTCACACGACTTTCCAAACTTTGTCCTGGACGTGTCACAGAACTCCTAAAACACCCTCCATTTGTCAAGTGAGCCAGAGAGGCATCTTGCACAAGGCTCCCCTTGTTAGATACGGCCAAGACGACTGCTGGGGACAGGGGATGAAGGAAGAATAAAAGGCAGGAGGAAAGAGAGCGCGAGGGGACAACCCAATGAGGCAGCTGTCGCGCTCAGAGGCACCGCGGCCGTTGCCCAACAACGCACCGAGAGGGAATGAAGAGACCCCTGTCCCGTCCCCGGAGATGGAAGGAAGTTCCTTCCTGGTACAGCTTACGCCAGGGCATCGTTTTCCCTTCGCGAGGTCTCAAGTCCCTTATTTGTGTGAGCAGGCTTTTATGTACCGTGTTACCATAAGGAGAGCTGCTCCTACACGGACTAACGCTTGCACTTTACGTGCCAGTAACCTCTGGTAGCACCTGCCTATGCAGCTACCTTCTCAGCACCGCTCCACACGTTCCAATTCCATCCGAAACATAAGGACAGAGAGAGCATCAAGCATTAGCAGGTTATACAGTTTGAATGCTGAAACTCCTAAAGTAAAGCTCACAAACTATTCCAATTAACTGACACGTGTCTTTAGTATCGCCTAAGTTGAACTCACGCAACCCATCAAAACTCAACATGAAAACACAAGCAGTGTCTTCATGCCACATTTCAATGGCAGTTGTAAGTAAACTGTGGTTTTTATCCCAGGAGACAGCCTGTAAATACACTTAACACTTACAGAGATCCCCAGTGAGCACAGGAATGCGATGCTCTCTTTCAGTATTTGGAGGCAGAGGAGGGAGGGACAGCTAAGGAAAAATCATGGCCAAATTATCACAGATTTTGAACACCCTGTGCCATGCTGGAGGCAGAAAAAGTTTGGAACAGCCTTGCGTGGAGACTGAATGAAATCTCGCAATCAAATTACTGCTGCAGGGGAAAAAGGCTACTGTGCAGAAACAATGACTAATGCATCTCTGGAGGGAGAGTTGTAAAATAAAAAGGAGGCTGGGGTAAACCAGTTGATGTTAATAAGGGCAGCTAGCCAGAAAAATAAAATGCCTTCCCATTCCTCTGTTTTCAGAGAGAGGTTTCAAAAGTCTTCAATACATAACTAAAAATTTGTGATGTTTGGTATAAAACACAGTCTTTTTTTTAAGGTTTTTAAAGAAAAGTCCTGTCTAAGCCTCTCTAAGCCTTGAAGGTAACTGGAGACTTAGGCCACAGAGATAGTAGCTTGAAATTTGGGGGTCAAGGTCTATCAGATGATGGGAAAACACTAATTAAAATTTGCTGGTGACCAACTATTCTTTGCATCTGCTCAGCTGGAAACACACACAAAGGTACCCCCGCCAGCCCCCAAGAGGATGTGCTGCTGGGAGAGGGTATCCTATGGGCTTGGCTGGCTACCATCATCCTAATTAGCACCTTCTCTCTCCTCAACTCTCTCCACAACAAGAGAGCCTGCACATGCAGTATACCTTTCACCACCCTAGTGTAGATTTAAGGGTCTTCTGTGAGTCCATTTGTATGTTAAACTCCTAGTTAATCTAATTACTGAGGACAAATGAATTGGTCAGCAGGTCTACAGGGTACCTATACCAGGGCAGAGGGTGCTTCTCAGGAGTGGAGATACTCAAACAGAAGTTGAAAACACCCTTAGAAGAGCATGCCAAATAGCCAACAGAGGAGAGCTTGTTGTTAAGACATATTTAAAGGGAAGCTGGGAGCCAACACTTTCAGCTTAGAGTTAAGGAGCTAGTTGTAGACAACTGTCAGGAAAGATTTTTCTTCACCCTCTTTTCGGAGAGTACTTATGTGTGAGATGCTGAAGCCACGTTTCTTCCCATGGTTTAGTGTCAATGACAAAACAGGACTGACCAAAACTTTGAGCAAAAGCCTTCAAGTCAAGATCTTAAGTATTTTGGGTCACTCTCCTCGCATTAGCAGCCACACAGACTGGGTAGCCTATTTCCACTATGGAGCACTGCCATGCTGCACATTGCAAATGCTGAATTGTTTATAGTGCTTTGTATATCGAAATTTACAGCCCATAGCAGCAACAGCACTTGTAGCATCAGTATAAATAAGACATGAATGAAGTATTTTACAGATTGAATTTTTCTATTGCTGCTGCATTTGCAGTGTTGGGCTTTAAATAGATTTTACAGAATAGCATCCCTGCTGTTTTCTCACACCCAGATCTTTATTCCTAGCTCACACAGACGCCACCACCACAGCATTTCTGAGAAGAAAAGGTACAGCACTGCTCATTTATTTGAGACTTGACAGTGTAATGACCTCATAGCAAGTACATCTGTGGTTTCTGTCTTCTTTTCCTTCCTTGGTCCTAGACTTTTTTTTTTTTTTCAAAAAAAAAAGAACAAAGTTAAGCTGAAGATGATTTCTCAATATGCCATGTCCAGCTAGGTGAGCTTTCCCTTAAAATAATCAACGCAAAAACACTCATTTCTCTGCCTCAAAACAATTCTAACTTTAACATACAGCAAAATGTTGACACGCCAACCCCCTTCCCTGAACATGCAGTATGACTGAACACTAATTGCCATAATTGAGCCAAATGCTGCCGACTGACTTAATCCCCCAGCTGCCACTTCAGCTGTGGCTTCGATTTGACACAACAGCAGGCAGTTGTGGCCCAGCAGGGCAGCGAGCTGGTGCGCGAGCACCCAGCGCGGGTCAGCCTGGCGCGTGCGGCCGAGGAAGCCGTGTTGCACAGCACAGCACTCGTGCTCAGCGCGCTGGGGAGGCACAGCTGGGAAGAGCAGAGGGGCCTTGGCCATTCCCTGGTGCTGGAACGCGGCCAGGAAAACCTAGTCTGGCACCACCCAGGACAGGACACGCGACTTCCTACGGAATCCCATCTAACGGATGCTACCGCTTCCCCAAAACAGCACCGGGTACTTGGGGTCCCTCATGGGTGCGCGGGGGTGATCAGTGAACATCATAGCAGAGCAGCAGCAGCACCACCCCGAGCTGCAGCACCGCTCCCCAGCAGGACAGCACGTGACGGATCCGGGCTGGAAGTGCAGCCTGCTGCCCTCATGAGCACCTGCTCCGGCCACCAACTTACCCTGCAAAGAGCCTGTCAGCCTGGCTCACTGATTCCTGTCTCTGAAGTAAGTGCTCCAATTCACTGCCTTTTTGCACCTGCGTGAGATTCTGCCATCCACAACGTTACTGCCCACGAGGGTGGGCAGGTCAGCACCAGGGGAGTGTGTTCACAGCAGTGCCCCCTTCCACAGCCAGCTGCTGCAGGTGACATTTAGTCTATGTGAAGTTAATAGCAGCACGTTCCACTGACACAGAAGAACTTTTAATACACAATATAGAGACGAGGAGGAAGAGGAAGGAGTTCTGTGCTCTCTCACTCTGTTTCTCCAGGCAAGACTCCTGCTCATCCAGAAATCAAGGAGCTTATGTTACACCGCAAAAAAGAAGGAATAAAGCCACCTGAAGAGAGCCAGCCACGGATTTTGAGGGCAAGGATCGATTCTAGTCAGGTCAAAAGGGAACTCGAACACGTTTCCCATTCTTTAGCATTTTTTCATTAGCTGAATGCATTAAAACAGTTGTATTGAATTTCTGTTTTCTGCCTCCTCTGCCCTCTCTTAAACCTTTGTCCAAAAAAAAAAAAAAAAAGGCAGACTGAGAGCTGTGATTTTGGTATCTTTATTACCCTTTGTGCCAACATACCAGAAGGTCATCCTGATATTTTCCCCCTCTCTCTCTCTCTCCACTTAAAGCTAAAAAAGGCACGAGAATTCTGGAAGACGGATTTTAGAGTATGTGCCAAAAGCAACTGGTAGATTGCCTTCCAAAAAAAAAATCCCCACTAAATAAAAAGAAATAAACTTTAGCCTAGGCGTTTGTTTTTCAAAATATACAAATAATAAAAGTTAATTCAATTCACATTCACAAATGTTAATTCACAAATGTTAATTCAAACAAAGACTATATCCAAACTTCAAAACAACACTACAGCTCCATGACAAAGTTGATAAGACCACAAAGGCAGGAAAAACAAAACATGCTTTTTTTTTTTTTTATCGTGGAAGCAATCTGAAGTCAAATTATTTTACTCTGCAGTTCTCAATTTCTGCACAAGCCTGGAGCACATTGCTTCAGTAGCGGGAAACCCTGCTCCCGGAGGAAGAACAAAATTCCTAGAAGAAAAATGACAATGTATTCTCCTCCTCTCGATTGGAAACTTGTATTTAATATGTAAAAGCATAAGCTAGGGATGGGCTACCAATTCAAAAATTATGATTCTTTTCAAAAGTGAATGTGTGTGCATTTGCAGAATGGAAACAGTTACCAGCTCCAAGCTGAAATTTTCTACGTTTCTACATTCCTATATTTGGACTACATCATTTTTAAAAGTTTTATTCTATGGCACACTTCTTAGTGACATCGATTTGTCTCCTTCACCGTTTCAGACTGTTTTAACTGCAAAATTCAACGCGTTTCTGACATTAAGGCAATTTTGCAATACGCCCAATTTCAATATTTATACAACTCCTAATTCTGATACATACACATATTTTTTAAAAACAGTGCTGCGGAGCCTTGCGGGGTATTTGTATTGCGGCTACCTTCCTGCTTTTCCAAAGCTATACACAAACGCCATGCAGAAGCTGGACTGAGCATGCAGAGCCTCAAGGTGCATCAATGAAAGCAGAAACCCTTCCTCCAGAGGTATTTACAAGCCAAGTGAAACTAAACGGGGTAAATTCCTAAGCGACACTCCACAAGTGCTGCCTTTGGCATAGCAAATAGCAAAACCCCTGTGGGGCTGCAGAGCGGAGGAAGCCGGGCGAGCACCAGGGCAGAGGGCGCTGCAGCCGGCCTCGCATCTCGGCCCATGGCTCTGCCTGCGGCCTGCGCTTCAGCCTCTGCCCTCCCCTCGAGGATGGCACGCGAGGGCAGGAGGTGCCCGGCTCCTAAACAGCCGGGGAGGGCGAGAAGCCTCCCGGCAGCTCCCTGCTCCGTGGGGCGCGAGGGCAGCGCCAGCACTCGCCGCTTGAGCATGTGCGTTTAAATAGCCATGCCCACCAGAGAGCCAGTTCTTCCCCAGGAGGCCATCTTGAAAAGAAAGAGTGAAACCGAGAAAGGGAGGAAACTCAGAGCATCTTCTAGAGTGGGAATGGCAAGAACCATGAAGAGCATGGGGCTCCCTGAAGCAGGCCAGGAGCCGCTGGCTCCGTTGTCCTTCCCCAGGGCACAGACTCCCAGGGCCACTCAGGGTCTGGCAAGGGGACAGAAGGACATCTCCGTGCCATCAATCTTGCTGCCTTCATTCCCTTGCCTCAGTTTCATACATATGCACCAACAGCAATCATTTCAAGCAGAATTTCATTACACACTGAGAGCAGTTCATCAGCAGAACGGAGACGTCAGGCCCTGCTCCTGCTCAATCCCTAGGGACCAACCAGGAGCAAAGAGTGTCCGGCCCCAACTTCTGGCCCACCTGTCTGCTCCGGTCAGTCCAGTCAGATCACTAACGCAGCTGCTCAGCCACTTGTGGGGGGTGTAGCTGGGGGATCCCCAAATTATGGGCTTTCAGGTTGAAAAGAGGAAAAAAGAAATAAAAAGAGAAAAGACGCCTGAGAGGAGAGATGATCATCTTAGCAAGAGGGGCACACGTCTCTTTGCAAAAAGGCTGGCCAACCTGGTTAGGAGGGCTTTAAACTAGGCAAGAAGGGGTGTTCAATTTATTCATCAATGACCTGGATGAAGGCACAGAGTGCTCCCTCAGCAAGTTTGCTGATGATACCAAACTGGGAGGAGTAGCCGATACCCCAGAGGGCTGTGCTGCCATCCAGAGGGACCTGGACAGACTGGACAACTGGGCGGTGAAAAACCTCATGCAATTCAACAAGGCCAAGTGCAAGGTCCTGCACCTGGGGAGGAATAACCGCAGACACCAGTACAGGCTGGGGACTGAGCTTGTGGAGAGCAGCTCTGCGGAGAAAGACCTGGGTGTCATGGTGGATGATAAGTTGACCATGAGGCAGCAGTGTGCCCTCGTGGCCAAGAAGGCCAATGGGATCCTGGGCTGCATTAAGAAGAGCATCTCTAGCAGGTCGAGGGAGGTGATCCTGCCCCTCTACTCAGCCCTGGTGAGGCCGCATCTGGAGTATTGTGTCCAGTTCTGGGCTCCACAGTACAAGAGGGATGTGGAGCTGCTGGAGAGAGTCCAGCGCAGGGCTACAAGGATGATCAGGGGCCTGGAACATCTGCCCTATGAGGAGAGGCTGAGGGAGCTGGGCCTGTTCAGCCTGGAGAAGAGAAGGCTGAGAGGGGATCTAATCAGTGTATATAAATACCTCAAGGGAGGGAGTGCAGAGGACGGTCATGGTCTCTTTTCAGTGGTGGCCACTGATAGGACTAGAGGAAATGGCCGGAAACTGAAACATCAAAAATTCCATAGGAACTTAAGGAAAAATTTCTTAACAGTGAGGGTGACAGAGCACTGGAACAGGCTGCCCAGAGAGGTTGTGGAGTCTCCTTCTCTGGAGATCTTCAAAACCCGCTTGGATGCAGTCCTGCGCCACGTGCTTTAGGTGTCCCTGCGTTTGCAGGGGGGTTGGACTAGATGATCTCTAGAGGTCCCTTCCAACCCTAAGCATTCTATGATTCTATGATTCTATGATTCTATGATTTCTGAGAGGGGGACTGTGGGGAGAAAAAATAAAAAGGTATCAAGTGATCTTGAGATAAAAAGCCATATAATCACTGTTAATAAATAACAGCCACAGACAGAAAGCATAATTTGATTGTTAGATAAAAAAGTGATAAGCCACCAGAAGTTTATTTTAACAGTGAACTAAATGATGCTTGTCAATTCTATGAGCCCTGCACTTTGTGATATGCTTAAATTAAAAAACCATGAATGGATAATTTAGCAGTCATTGATTTAATTATTTTCAATAATTAACAAGCAAACAGCATTCTTGATGAAAAGATTGGGTTTTTTTTCCTTCCTTACAGTGCAGCCTGAAATATAAAAGGTACTACCTCAAGAAAAAGAGCAGTGGCAACTATGGCTCATTCATTGCTTCTTTGAGTAACAGTAATCTACAAAACTATTAAACCTGAGTATTTGTTTGATTTTCAGAAGAGTTATGATGTCGATTGTAAATCAAGGAAAAAATGAGAAGAGTTTGGAGCACAATATATAACCAAACCTCACCTTTGTGATCAAAATCTACCAACCCTCTTTTCTCTCAATTTGCAGTTGACAGTAGCTAAAATAGCAAGGGCTTTAAGGCAAATTCCCACTGTATGGGGATCCTACCACAAAATACAGTAGTGCTGATTTTCAGCAAGGCTTTTTTGAAAGGCTGTCATTGCTAGGAAAACATTAAACAGACAACGAACATGGCCCATCATGCTAATCTCCTACACATTTTCTGATATTCAAAAAAAGTGATAAAAATAATGTTTTCATTTTAATAATATTTATCACTTTTTCTTTTTTTGAATATCAGAAAATATAGCATAGGCAATTAATGTTTTCATTTTAATAAACTGCCTATGCTCATTACTGAACTTCTGCTAAAATTTTGCTTGCTATGAGGGAATATTCAGAGCATTTACTGCAGTATCGGTGTTCAGGTCATGTTCACCTGCTCCTGGAATCGCTGCACACTTTGTTTGTTAAGCGGACTCGATGAGATCGTTCATCTTCCTTTACACCTTTTTTTTGTTTTTCCAAAAGAGAATTGGAATTATGTAAAATGCAACAGCCTGAATAATCCCTCTTGTATTTCTTGGATATTCTTCAAGGAGGAGAGAAACCTTTAAACCCTTCCAGCTGAAGGGGACCATCCTCAAATAAAATCTCAAGGTACCCTGAAGTTCAGTTACTACTGAAATCAAAATCACAGTTTCACATTCAGCATGAAAATGTTTGTCTTTCTAAACACAAGGAGCCTGCTGACTCCACAGTTCTGGGACACACACATTAAATCATTCAGATCACTGATACTGCCACTATCTATCTATTTGCTACAATCTTGGATGAGAAGAGACGGCAGTGAAAAAACACAACCATAGAATAATCAACACCAGATAGGAAGCCACACAGGGACTGGAAGGTCACAGTTCCTAGGAGAGAGCTGTGAGGGTGGGTTAGAGAAGGAGACAGAGCTACCAGGCAGAATATATTAACTGAAGGCTTTGAGGGTAAAGAAATCTCCTGAGCCAAGTACCTCACAGTATTCTCCCTACCTAGGATGTGTCCCTTCGACAGACAGTTCCCAAGCTCGCTCGCCTGCTCACACGAGTAACAGACTGAAGAAACGCTCTGGCTTCAGGAGGTGGGTGGAAAACAGGGCATTTTGAAAACTGCATTTTGGATTGGAAATAAACATCAGGCTGTTTCTAGCAGAGTTGACTCATTTCTGAGAAGTGCACCCGCCTGGTCATTCCTCTAAAGGAGGAGGTATTAAGTTTTAAACTAGCATTTCTTTAAGAAAGTTCCTGCAGATGAAGGTTCCCCAGAAGCAAGACTGCAGAGGAAGAACAGAGGAGAACAACTGGAACTATACAACTTTACCTTTGCAAATCGCTAAGGGCTCTATTCGTGGATGGACTAGGGTTCAGCCTCAGAAAGTTCTGCTTTAAGTTGAGATGAGTGAGGTCTTGGCTATAAAACAGGTTGGCAGGCAGGTGCTCCAGGCTGCAGCATGAAAGATCCACTGAGCTTATGCGCTGTGATGCAACCTAGGAATCAAAGCAAACCAGTATGTTAATAGTGCAACAAGAAAAAAACATTTTCTTCTCTCTCCGTTATAAAACTTTTCTTAATCACAGCAGAAGTCAGCATCAGCATGTGAAGCTGGTTCACATAATTTCTGGAAGTTATTACATGACTTCTTTTGATCTGTGCTAAAACTAGCTTCACTGATGGCCAGGAGAAGAAAAAAGGCACAAGTTTGCCAATCCAATTTGTGAGATGAATGCAGTTTTATCATTCAAGTTACGTGATACTCTATGAGCAGAAAAAAAGACAAATCTTTCTGCTAGTAAGCAACAGCAACAAGGAAACAGAGCTCCAGTCCTCTGATGCGTGACTGGTAAATATGCCAAGGCAAAAGCAAGTGGAGGTGAGTCATCACCCTAGCCTGGTTTCAAGGATCAAAAGGCTGCATTAAACAGCAAATGAAGTTATTCCATTTATACCGTGGGATATAAATAAATACTGGGGGCCAAGGGGACACTTGACCAGCAGCAAAGCATTAAGCACTCGGTTCTTCTTGCCATGAATTAGAAAAGTGGCCAAGAAAAACCAGCAAAATCAGGACAGAAACTAAACTGAGATCTGGAGGTTTAACCCTGATCTCCAGAAGCCAGGAGATGAGGGCTCACAGTCTAGAGTGACTGAAGAAATTACACTGCCTGGCATCACATGCAGGTAGTTTGTTTCACAAAGACCCATAGGCAACCAGCCTGAGTAACAGCTACTCTGCTCCTTGCAGAATCTAAGACAGTGCTGAGGGATGGAACTACATCCTGCTGCCCTTCATCATCACTATGTATTTACTTCTACAAAAACGCTACGAGGCTGCAAGAGGAAGGGGCAGGGCAGTGCTTCTCCCTAACGTCACTGCCAGCAATCCTTTGAAACACTCATGTTCTGGTTCATTTGCTCCTTTGGTCCCTGTTTTCCTACCCCTGGTAGGGCCAGACACAACCTGGCCATAGGCTCTTCTGGGCAGCCTCTTCTCAAAGGCAGGTTTATCAGTTTACTCAGTGCCACAGCCGGCCCAATGTGACAATACATTTCTTGTCACACAGCAAATGTGTGAAGAAAAAGGAAAGAGCTGCCACTTGGCAAATTAAAAAAGAAGAATGCAAAATTCCAGGCGTAATGAATGCTTATACATACTGCTGCTCAACCGATTGCTGGGGGCACAATCCAGTAGTGAGCAACCTGGCGGTGCTTGGCACCACACAGCATCCCAAAACACTGACAGAGCTGATAAATCGGAGAAGGAAAACATGACCAAGCAGTGAATTCACATTTTAATCAGGTCACAGAAGGAAGAAAAAAAAAAAAAAAAAAAAAGGAGATCCTTTCTTTAAAGGAAATTAAAAAAAAAAATCAGATCCTGTAAAAAAGTTAATTAATGTCAATTTTGTTTTACAGGTTATATAGCAGTACCTTTTTTTTTTTTTTTAAAGGAATCGCTTTAAGAATTCCATTATGTAATTGACACATCCTTAATGACGTCTCCACCATAGAGATAACTGAGATATCTCACTACCGAGATCTCTTTTAATTGAGAGATTAAAATCCTGTATTTTCAAAAGGGTTAGTCCTGAAGCCAACTATAATTCTATTGATTTTTTTTTTTCCCCAACAAAGCAGTACTCTAACAATTAGTTTGTGAATCCTTACAGGAAACAGCCATATAAACAAATACAGTTATTCTCATGGGTAGAGAGAAAGTCTTTTCTCTTTGCATTGCTCAATACTGTTCTGTATCAAATTCCTAGAAAACAGAGGGACAAAGATGAACAAAAAAGAGTGTGTGTGGGGGGGAAGAACATTTTAACAATAGTTTCTTTGGTTCACCAGAAACTTTCATCAGTTGTTTTGAAGCTGGGTATCAAAACTCGAATGATACTGTTCCCAAATGAAGCAATAAAGGGATATGCCAATCGGGCATTTTAATTGATCTACATGCAGTAAGGACCGTGCACGTCTGCTTATTTCTTTAGAGGCTACTGCCTACTAGGAGCAAAGCTTTTTTCTACAACATGATACAAGTTTTGATAAAGCACAGGATTTCCTGAGCTCACTGTGGAGAACCAAGCAGACAGATTTATAAAGGATATGATTAGAAGAACCCTAATACTCAAAGAATTAAAAAAAAAAAATCCGAGGAAAGGCCCTATCTAGGGAAGCAGGGCTGTCACTAAAGGAGAAAAATTAAGACGCTCGTTACTGTAAGTAAATCCCCCAGCAAGTTATTTGAGCTGGGTTCAGGCCGTGTTTCAGCGACGACACTGAAGAGCCAGTGGGAGCAGCAGGCCTAGCTGGACTGGAAGGAAACGCCTCCTGGATACACGTGGGACAAGCAAACTCACTGCACCTTCTTTCCCACCTTGGAAAACTTAATGTTCACACGCACACCCCTGTGTGCAAGAACTGCAAGCAGTTCTCTCAAACACCATCTATCCATACCCTACACTGAACACATCCTTAGCACTTGTTCTTGCACAAAACCCCTGCTGCATTTCCTGCATTGATAAAATGGGAAAAAAGGCTGAGGGGATGACAGCCTTGCAAGATGGGGTGCAGGACCACTTCAGATGCTGCAATTAATTACACACAGTATGCAGTGCAAAGTCAAAGCCTTTAAAAACAAAACACGAAGAGCAAGATCAAGTATTTGGCTCCATTTCTTGAATCCAATTTTTTGAAATTTTATGGCATTTATTTTATTGCCATGACTCCCATTCCAGTAACAGAGGACACAATAAGATGAAATACAACTTAATGCATCAAAACAGCTAAATCCAAAGGAGATTTCTATCAGTTCACATCAGAGCCTCAGTAGAGCAGCCCGGGTCTACAGTCCTTTTTTGCTTCCAGTTGAGCACAGCGTGCTGCAGAGTAGCTACTAAGAAGTGGTGCACAGCTACAGCAAGTGCACTACAAAAGACCATGTATCTTCCCACTGCAGACATCTAGAAGCTGTTGCCATGCTTTAAATTCCTCCCCAGCAGCAATAAAATGCGGCTTTATTCTGCAAAGACCAGCACAAGCAGCAGCACCAGAGAGCTCTCCTTCCCCTCAAGCAGCAGAAGTTCGGCTAGTCCCCACCTACTACCTGCACACTTAAAGAATTAAGACTCTCCCAAACATGAAAACTTGTTTTTAAATGTTATTTGCCCCATCATAATCTTTACAAGTATAAACAAGGGTTCACAAAAGCCAGTGGTGTTGTAAAATATACATGCACCTGGGCTAAACCCTTTTTCAGTTTAAAGGAAATAGTGTCTAGAGACCAGTCAAAACGCGGTGTGGGTTCACCGCAAGGTGTGAGCAGCTGGCAGTAGAATCCCTCCGGGCGATGTTTCCTCAGCAGATGTCCTTGCCCCTCCTTGCTAGAGCGCAGCGCTCTGTGCGGCAGCGTGAGGCGCCTCGGCGCGGCGCTCGCCTGGCGGCTGCCGTTGTCCCATTGCCCTGGCTCGGCTTCAGAAACGATCTGCTGCTGCCCGCAGTGAGCGTCGGCGAGGGCCACGGCTGAGCCCAGCTGCACGGGTAAACACAGGCCTTGTTTACCGAGAACATCTTTCCCGGTGACCTGTGGCGTGAATTTCAACCAGTGTGTTTGTGTCTTCTTCCTGTTTACCCCCATCCCCTTCCCTGTAGCTCTATTCAGATAAGAGGTTACTATTTAAGACTCCAGCAGAAGACAATTAAAATAACAAAGCAGCCCACAAGGCAGAGACAGCCAAATTCCCAGTCTGTTTGAACTGAACGGATGATGTTAAATTACACCTGCTGCAAAAACGCTCATGGGAAAGCAGTATAATCGTGCTCCTTCGTTAGGATTTGTTTCCAAACAGGGTGGCACCAACCTGCCCCTCTGCGTGGGCGTGAGGCTCAGGCTGCGCACTTGGGGCATCCCAGCTGAGCAGCAGAGGCAAACAGTGCCCCTCCAAAGCGGCCCCGCTTCTCATTCTTGCCCTCCTCTCCATCCTGCTGGCCGCAGGTAGCAGTGCAGCCTGCTGGCTCCAAGGGCACAGGGAGCCCTAATCCCCTCCAAAAACCAGTGAGGTGGGTAAACAAGCCAGTGCCCAAAACCTTCAGCTGTGTAGCTTTGAGATTTATGTAGCTTCTTATTCGTGGCTTTTATGCAGAGCTACAGCAGGGCAGCCAACAGGAGCAGTCACAAATCGGGCGAGGGGTGCAGACACCTGCAAAGATGCCGAAGCAGAGGTTGGATACCCTTGCCCTCTGTGGCAAAGATCCAAACGGAACTGCCGCATGTAGGCAAGGCAGGGTTCCATTCTTACCTGAAAGCAGGAATTTATCAAAAAGATGACATCTGGAAATGTTTGCAACTATGCAGAAGTAGTTAGCCCAGACCAGGAGCGCTCTGGGCTCTCTCCTGAGGAGGGTCCTCACCTTGTAGGGACCAAGTGGCAACGCCAGTTTGACCACGGGCATCTCGGTGGTCTACCTGGCACCATCTCAACACTGCTGCCTTGGCGGTCGTCACCTCAGCATGGCCACCCGGGAAAGATCCCTGCAAGGCTCAGCCTTGCGATGAAGCTCTGAGTAAGGAGCACTAACTAGCTGTAGCATTTGACTTATACACTTATGTTAACTCATATAACATTTAACTTAATTCTGGCATGTGAAGCTCTGTTTGATGGCAGCAGGTAACATCCTTGAAACAACCTGACTAAAAATAATTAATCTAGTATTCACTCTAGTAAATGTTGCCAAACAGGTGACAATCTCTCAAAAATTGAGAAAGACCTCATTTTTAACCCCCCATAAAAAAGGTTTCTTAGGAAAAGTACCACTAGCCCCTCACTTTCTAGACTTTGGGTTGCAAAGCCTCTCAGTGCTACAGTCCTTTTTTGCAACCTCCTGCAGCCTCATGGCATCTCCTCTGGAGAGAGGAGATGCTCCACCTGGAGCAGAGTTGCACTTCACTGCTTGATCCTACTCCTCTCTCCAACAGAGAGGATTTGGGGAT